TCTAAAAAGTCAGCCTGAAGCATGATTCAAGGACTTTTGACCCACTGTTTCTTAAAGAACAGAAGTCTTAATATTCTTAGAATTACGTTTAACGAATCTATTAAAGATTAGGGTACAAAATCAAATTAAATAACCGATAAAATCCCAACGCTTTACCCCTGAAGAAGACAGGTTTTGTCGTCGAATGTGATTTACCAAGTTTGATGATCCTATGTGTTCCTTATGGTTATTGCATAGTTGAATTTGTTTTCTTTGGGCATAACATGGCTGATGGTTAGGTAGCTCGTGCCATAATCTGCGTGCTCTAAACCTGTCGCTGAACGCGCTCGCCCTTTCAGCCGTCACGGCAATTTCATCATTCGTTGGTAAGGACGGCTATAACAGTTAACCCTCGAGTAGATTTTCGCGAAGTTCAACAAACAAATTATTTTCATTGAAAGGTCAACATTAGTATTGTGCTCTTGTTTTCTTAATGTTGATACTCAGTGTGATACTATAAATATCACTTGCCAGTATTTTAGGAATACTATACTTACTTCATAGTTTTGTAAAGATAAAATATTAAGTTTAAATATTTGTAAGATGTACTATAACATTTATTCTTTTTTCTTATTAATCTATGATATCACAAAATCGCTGAAATAATTTGTAGTTGATAATCTTCCACGTGTAACTTTATTACAAACAGGTAGAAATTGTGAAGAAACATCACAATAAGATTTCTCATGATGTATAAAACTTTACCGTTAATTGGACCAAGCCGGATTTCAAATAAGAATAGTACTTGAATAGGATTTCAATTACGCTGTTTGGTTATGAACCACTGTAGATGAAGCTTTATGGATCTAAACCAAAACTCATTAGCGGATCGACTAGGTTTGAACATTATTTTCAGCTACAAGAATAGCTTGTTTTTTTTTTTGTTTTTTTTTGTCTTTTAACTTTCGCGCAAAGCTACACGAGGGTTGTCTGCTCTAGCCATCCCTAATTTAGCAGTGTAAGACTAGAGGGAAGGCAGGTAGTCATCACCACCCACCTCCAACTCTTGGGCTACTCTTTTACCAACGAATATTATACTGTCATATTATAACGCCCCCACGGCTGAAAGGGCGACCATGGTTGGTGTGACGGGGATTCGAACCCGCGACCCGCAGATTGCGAGTCGAGCGCCCTAACCACCTGGCCATGCCGGGCCTACAAGAATAGAAAAAGATGTTGGATCACGAATGAAGTATTAAGAATTTACATTCAGCCTACTTTGATATTTCATCAGCTTTTCTATACTTAAAAGTTTCGAACTTTTCCAGCTTTATCTACCCCCCCAGTGGCACGGCGGTATGTCTGCGGACTTACAACGCTAGAATCCGGGTTTCGATACCCGTGGTGGGCAGAGCACAGATAGCCCATTCTGTAACTTTGTGCTTACTTGCAAACAAACAAACAAACCAGCTTTGTCTTACAAATTGAATAATACAACATTCCTGTTTGCTTTTGCTGAAATTCTTATGATGTAAGAGCACAATAAAAGTGATATTCTAACTCTCAACTCAACACACCCGACAATTTTACAACATTACATGTAAAGAATAGATAGGTTACTGCGGTGTCATATGCTATGTTTAAAGGGTGAAATTATCAATAATGTGTCACAGAAACACAAAAATTCCTCTTCGCTTATCTATTACAAAAACTTTTATATTACTATATTACTACTTTTAACTATATTAATCTATTACATGGTACAAGGTAATTTAAAACAGCTTAATTTTTGAATCACTAATTCTGTTTCTGGCATATCCAACAATATCTATCTTTGGATTTTATGCATTATAACTTTCAGTTTGTATTACGTTGTTAAACATAAATTATAAAACAGTTCGAATACTAGCTTTTTCTTGTTTGACAATGAGTTAGAAGGTCTATGTGTTTCACGATTCTTCAGAAAATTTAATATTACAGCAAGGTTTGTCTATTTGAAAGTAAAATGTTTTTCTTATTCTTTGATTGATACATGAAAGATACACAGAACTCTGAGAAACACAAAACCCTAAAATACACAGAATCCCGAGAATCACAGAACCCTGACGAACACAGGACCTGAAATACACAGAACTCTGAGAAACACAGAACCCTAAAATACACAGAATCCCGAGAATCACAGAACCCTGACGAACACAGGACCTGAAATACACAGAACTCTGAGATACACAGAACTCTGAGAAACACAGAACTCTGAAGTACACAGAAACCTGAGATACACAGAACCCTGAGAAACACAGCACTCTGAAATACACAGAAACCTGAGATACACAGAATTCTCAGGCACATAAAACTCTGAGATACACATGACTCAAAAGTACACAGAACTCTGAGATACACAGAACACTGAGATACACAGAACACTGAGATGCTCAGAACTATAAGATACACAGAACTATAAGATACACAGAACTCTGAGATACACAGAACTATAAGATACACAGAACTCTGAGATACACAGAACTATAAGATACACAGAACTCTGAGATACACAGAACTATAAGATACACAGAATTCTGAGATACACAGAACTCTGAGATACACAGAACTCTGAGATACACAGAACTATAAGATACACATAACTATAAGATACACAGAACTATTAGATACACAGAACTATAAGATACACAGAACTCTGAAATACACAGAACTATAAGATACACAGAACTCTGAAATACACAGAACTTTAAGATACACAAAACACTGAGATAAAGCCAGCAATATATTTATTTATATATTTCTATATATTTCATTAATTTTCGTTCTGTTAATTTAACTTTATCTTTCGCTTTCATCTAGTAATTTGTACATTAAGTTTTGCATCTGATAAACTATAAATCATCATTTTATATTCACTACATAAAATTCAATGTCCTATAACATGGACTAAAGTATTTAGCTAATTACAAACCCTAAACGATAATTCTGTTGACTGTCGAAAGCGGGATTCCCAAATTCTGCGAAATTTGCCGCTGACTTATTCCACCATCTGCTTGACCAACTCTCCTTCCTCTAACAAAATC